AAATGACTCAACATTTTTCACCGTTTGTTATAATTTAGGTTGTTCAATATATGAACAGGTTGAACATGATAAACAGCAGAAAAATGAAGAACAAAATACTTTGGATGTAAAAGAGAGATATAGAAATGCATTAGAAAAATTTCAACAAGCATTTGAACTTATTAAATCTAGTAATCAAAATGTTTATGAAACTATTAAAATAGCCAATCTTTGTGACAACATTGGTTGTATTCATTATAGACTTGAACATTATGATAAAGCATTGGATTTTTTTCAACAAGCTTTGAATGAAGGGCTTCAACTTTCGTCGGCTAATCAATGGATCATAGTAGAAGATTATCTGCATAATATATCTCTTGTAGTCAGACGTCAGAAAAAGTAATTTAAATTAGTTTTAGGACGTACCCAAGGAGTTATTACAACTTATAACCATTCTTATGAATTGTAAATATTTTTTAATTTTATTTGGTCGTTGGCAATATTCGAAGCTGAATAAAAACAATAAAAACTTCCATAAATTTCGTTTTGTTCATAAACTGTTAAATTATTTTTTTCATTCTATGAAATTCTAGCTGATTATCGATATCAAAAATTTTTTTACATTTTCGGACTATTTTCAGATAAAAAATAATTGGCTGCAACATTTTTTTTGCATAGCATGGACAGTTCTTCACGAACAACAACTGAAAGGTAACACATGTATGATGTTCACTTCTACATGCACTACAGCGGATTTTTCATTTCTTTTAGTACTGAAAAACGTACGACAGGTCAAAATATTACTACTTTGCTTGAAAATTATAAGTTTGATCAAGACTTCGGTGTTATTGGGCTTAATACATTTTTTAAAACTGATGATGAATTTTGTTTAAAATTGAAACGAATTTTTACAAATTTAGCCAAAGTCGATGAGCCATGTGATGCTATAAATCATTTCACCCAGAATTCTAAGAAATTATTATATTTCGTATGTATTGTTTCACATTTAGATGAGCATTTCATACCATCAATTCATGGTGAGTCTATTATTCATCATATGTACGTTTATTGTCGAAATTCACAAGAACAACAACAATGGATTGACAAAAATCATAAAAAAATAAAAAATAAAATTTTTTTAAATCAAAATTTACTTATTAAAGAATTAAGACAATTTATATTTGATGCAAAGCAAATACGAGGCAAAACGAACTGTCAGAAGAGATATCACTATCATCAGCATCATCAACATCATTTACATATTTTAAACAACGTGAAATATCAAGTCCAATAAGAAATTTAGATAAAGAAACTATTGAATTTATTCAGTTTCAATTGCTTATTGAAATAATACTTCGGTTATCATTGAGCGAAAAAGCAAAAAGTGATATCATAAAAGTATATCATAATTATTATAGTGATAATAAAACACAAAAGAAATATATTTCAGTATTTGAATCAAACTATGAAACAAAAAGGCCTCTTGAATGGTATACAGATCCCCAAATGAAATTTTGTCATAAATTAACAAATAAAGCATTAGGGACATAAGATATCGATTGTTTATTTCCATTTCGTTTTCTAATTCAAGAGATACATAAGCAACTTGACGAACCACATAAAAAAACCTACACAATCAATATCTTCGGCTTTGCATCGAGGCAAACTATTGACAGCAAATACATTTCTAGGAAATCCTTCTATCCTTCTAGGAAATCAACTGTTACGCGTTTCTCATCTAACTCCGTAATTTTAGCTACCAATGAACTTAATTCATGTAACATTTTTGTTTTAACTTCTTGAGTGCGACCTGAACGAATTAAACCTTGAACCAAACATGGCGTATTATTAGAATCACCACCAACATAACCGTTGCCTGAGCGTAGTTTTTCTGTACAATCCTGCATAATTCCATCTTGCTTAGGTCTATGTTTTAGTTTTTCTACAGTTGTAGAATTACATTTACTAAAATATTCATATGCAAAACCATAATACTCTTCAGCTACTTAACTTCTTCCTATTTATAATGAAGTAAGCCAATATTCATATATATTGCACTTCTATCTTCGTGATTTAGCGTGATAATTTTAGTACACATTCATGTTTACAACCTACAGATTTAGAAAATTATGTTTTAGATCAAAAAATAGTTAGTCTAGCGTCAGCAGAACAGAATAAACCGTTGTCTTTATTGAAAGATCTTACTATTGAGGCTTTAGCATTTCATCATATATTTTAACAATTAACAATCCGCATGTGAAAAGCCTATCTTATTCTTTATATTGCAATACACGTCGTTTCAGTGCTGATCCACGTTTCGCAGAGGATGCTACGTATGTTTTTTTCTTGAATATCTTAAGAATTTAAAAAAAGCGTACTCAGGTGTATCTATTGCTTTAAGAAAACAATTTCCCGGCAAAGATCGAATAACTGTTGGACAAGTAAGAAACGATGAAAGCTTGAGACACTTGATGAGAAATAATATGGTGTATAGACATTTACAGTATGTAAGAGCAAGTCCGCAGTATTGGAAACATGCCATGAAACATCTTTTTGGCTACGTAAGACAGTTAAACACACCTATATTTTTGTCACTCTTTCATGTGATGATATGTTTTGGAAAGATTATTTTGACGCACTAGCTAGACATAGTACGATAGGTGTGAAAGATGAATATACTCATGCAGAAAAAGAAAATTAATTCGAAATAATCCTGTTCTCGTCGCCAGACTATTTGATCATCGTCTGAGAGCATTTTTGCGCATGTTTGTTTTCAATGGTACTACAGTAGGAGAAGATGTTCAAGATTTTTCTGTGCGTCTCGAAGCAGAAATGAGAGGTTTAATGCATGCGCAAATGCCACTTTGGATTAAAAATGCACCTCGTTATTGTGGTACAGAAAGAGATGAAAAAACTAGACAAGAATTGCGATTTTCGTGACAAGTATATTACTACCAACTTCCCAAGCGTAGATGAAGATCTAGAAATGCAATTGTTAATTAGGAGAGTTCAAAGTCATTTAAAATCATGTGGAGGAAAAGGACATAATATGGCAAGCGTACTTCCTCAGTATTAAACCGATAAAAGAAGAAAGCTGTGAAGTATTTGAATATAATATGTCGTTTTTTATTCCCACGAGTAGTAATGCGTTTTACATGGGTATGTGAACCTTTGAAAACGGCAGATGGCGAACTGTTGAAGAAAATTGAAATTTTAAAAGAAAAATTAAGAATAATTAATGTTGCTAATAAATAAATAAAACAGTAAGACATTTAAAAGCTGAGTAGAGATTTTTAATTTCAATTTTTTAACTTAGCAAAAATGACTTTTAACGATTTTTTTAAAGGAAATTCCATTGCTTTTAAGAGTTAGATATATGAAAGTCCTTCAAAGTCTTACTATTTAGAATCACTAAATCCCATTTTTCACGGGCTTTCATTTGGTATAAAATTCATCATATCTCCGATTTAGAATTATAGCGTTACTCCCCTTGAATAATATTATTTACCACCCTGTATTACCAAATAACGATGACTATCGATTTTAGACGCAAACATTAAAACGCAGTTTTCCACCACTCTGACACAAATCGAGTCGTACGGTGAATTTTGTCGGCGATCCATTGTCTGTTTATAAATGTTGCACCAGCATCGCGAGCTTCACGGAACGTAATACATTTAATTCTGTCAATCATTCTTTGTTGTTCAGTATCATAAGCACCAGCCATTTGAAATAATAAAATTTCCTTGATGCAACAAGAGGGTCAATTCTACTATAGACTATATCGATGAGAAAATTACCTGTTATGTCACGCCAACAATCACTGAAATTTCTCTCCACTATAGTTTTCAGACTAAGCGAGAACGAAAAAATCTTTCAAATAACTAGTATCACGTGGAGCAAACAACAGAACAAAGAAGAACCATCTTATTGTCTGAGTCATAGTCCTTCTCATAATCGTTATCAGTTTTCTTTCGTTTTTTCCTAGAAAAATCTTCGTTTTTCAATGCTGTAAAACTTAGCAAAAATGATTTTTAACGATTTTTTTAAAGGAAATTCCATTGCTTTTAAGAGTTAGATATACGAAAGTCCTTCAAAGTCTTACTATTTAGCATCACTAAATCCCATTTTCACGGGCTTTCATATGGTATAGAATTCATCATATCTCCGATTTAGAATTATAGCGTTACCCCCCTTGAATAATATTATTTACCACCCTGTATTACCAAATAACGATGACTATCGATTTTCTGTTTATGCTAATGAAGATTACTGTTACTGATAGAGGCAGAGACACAGCTAATGAATTCTTGAACGTTGTGAAACCATTCTTTGTAGTTTTATATATTCTATAGATATACATACGAAACGTAATTAATAAAAGGTTAATCTAATTAATTAAAACGGCTACTAATGAGAACACACGTAGATACTAACATATCATAGTTGGTAATTGTCTCTTTTGTGATGAGCGCGTCCGTTATAGTTCATGGAGTTCTGTGGTACGTTATTTATGTGGTCATGTCGCCCATGATCGCCATTTTTCATGATCTCATGCTGCCAATTGATTGTATCGTTGTAGGTGACGGACAAAATACGAAAGACCTTAATGGATTGAATTAGTATAAAATGTTAAATGTTAACGAGCAACGATATGGTGGATCTTAATGGACCTATCAATATTTATCGTTATCGAGTAACAGTATAGTAGATCCTAAAAGATCTAATTAATGTTTTTGCTTTTGTTTATTGTTTACTGGATTAGTGAGGGTTTTTCGAAATAAAATTAGATCCGAAAACGTGAAAAGTTCGAAAAAATAACAATAAATGTCTTTAAAAGAACCCACGAAAATAACCGAATGTTTTTCATTATTACCTAGAAGTAAATAAAAACAAAGAATAAAATATACATGCGTGTCTGACTGAAGGAATGTTTGATATTATAAAACAAAAATCCTTAATATTAACAAAACAAAACTTATTATGTTCCTTCCATGGGTACGAGAACTGTATGAGGGTGAGGGTGTTAATGATGGGTGTTTGCGTTTTGTTTAGATTTCTTTAAATATATAGATTGTTGAATATGTCGTAACTTTTTCTCAACACGATATACGTAACACATATCGGCTTATTGTTTCTAAGTATATCCGTTTAAGAATATCAACAGAACCCATATAAGTAAGCCACATATAACTCGCGATATTACTCGTATAAATCAGTAGTTATGAAGTGGGCAAAATGAAATGTTCTTATTTTGCTTTTGTTTTTCTATAAGTAACACTGATTGAGGAACGAAAATGTTATCGAAATTCTTCCAGATCAAATGATTTTGAGTAATTTTCATGTATTAATGTCCCTGAAATCTAAAAGGAATTTCAGGGACACATTGCTCATCTGAAGAAGGAAGAATTCCCACTTTCGCATTCCAAAAACACGCTTCCAGTTTGTTGATTAAACATCAGGAGTCAAATAAAAGCACAAGATTCGCTCGATGCCTATATTGAATTAGTCATAACAGGCATGTATAAAATATGTCTAAGGCAGAATTAACTGCGTTTTATTTTATTTCATTATATATGAATATACTGCTGTAGCGACGTTTTAGTGGTCGTGTCTAGTTGTTCTAGGTAATTGTGTGATACTGTTCAGTAACTACGTACTACGAGCAAAAAATTAACTAATTGGACGTTATTTCTTTATAGGAGTTCTTAATCTCTGAGTCTCTTTGGACGTTTCTGCGTAGAGTTTTTGATTCTCTCTGTGGCCATCGCTAATAATGAGTTGGCATTCTTAATTAAGGCTTCCTATACGATTTCGCCTAAAAGTAGGGAGTATCTAAATTATTACGTAGTCATAAAAATGGCGGTAAAGTGATGACCTCATTACTGATAGGAAGTCGTAAAATGTCGATTAATAGCTTAACAGAATTTGGGGGTGCTCCGTTTGAATATGAAAAATGGAAAGTGCTCATTTTAATATTCTATTAGTATTTTGTATTCCCAATCCAAATTTCTCCGTGATATTGATAGTTTTGCTGCTAAAAATTATAAAGGGGTATTCTGTGTATTACGCGATCATAGAAATGACGTCATACTAATTGCGTAATGTTATTATATTCTTATATACATGAAAAATACGTAACTCTGCTACCGGAGTGTCTGTGCGTTATCGGTTTTTCTCTTTTCGTCTATCTTATAATATACGGAGGAAATATCGTAGAATTCTGGATAGCGTCCGTTTTGTAGAATGAAGTGCGTTCTTGAAAATCGACCACCAGCTCAATTCGAAATAACTGACGCTGTTTATGCTATACTTAAAGTACGAAGAGCCCCAAAAACACTGTCGTTTGGTTTTAAGGCGTTTAGTATTTCGATCGTAACCGAAAAGTCGTGACTCGAAGTCGAATTGAGCTAGTGGTGGATTTTGAAGAACGCACTTCATTCTAAAAAACAAGAAGCTTTTCAGGATTCTACGATATTCCTTCCAAATATTATAGGATAGGCGAAAAGAGAAAAAACGGTAACGCACAGACACTCCGGTGGCAGAGTTAGGCGTTTTTCACGTCGATCCCAAGAAGCTATATAGTTTCTTGGGATCGACTTGACCTAGGTTCTAGTTGATTGGTGTGATTACGGATTTATCTGGTCGTTTCTTCACTATTAGTTCAGTAAGGTTAGGCGCCATATGAGAAGCGACATTAATACGGTGAGACTCTAACGTGATATCCTTGAATGTATTTACCCATATGGTGTGAAGGACATGAGCTAAATTCTTTATAGCTGGTGTGTAGGTAAAATGAAAAATGGATGATAAGTCAATTTTAGCTCTTTGATCTTTTTTCTTAAAGCTAAGAGCCTTTTGGTGAAAGTCATGATAGCTATGTTTTTGTGACAAATCAAACTCAAGGTCATTATACACTTTTTGAAGTTGTTTATCTATAAATTTTTCTGGGTAACCGTTCAATAATAAAGCTCGAGTTAGATGGCGATGTTCTATTTCAAAAAAGTTAAAAACGGAGCATGGCCGAAATAAACGAAACAGACCTGCATAAGCTATATTCCGCTTTATGTGTGACGGGTGTGCGGAGCTGAAAGGTACAAAATATGGTTGTGCCGCAGCTTTATGAAAGATGGTATAAAAAGGGTTCCAGCTTATGCGAATAAAGTCGATGTAAACGTGGTACGGACTCCATGGAAACACCCTAGAGTGGAAATCTTCGTCTGTAAGAAAGAGATCGAACTTATTAAATTTCGTCTATACTTCATATAGAAGTATAGACGAAATTTCGAAGCGCGATTGAGTGAGCTAGTTCGTTCCTGATGACGCAGTGCCTTTATACGTTTAGGTTTTGCTGAGAAAGCTACTTTGATTATTCGCTAGTGTTAGATTAAAGTTTAATGTCGATTTTCCATCTTCGTCACATCTGCCGCCTCATCTGTACACTATCGATCAAATGAAAAATGATTACCACTTGTATATTTTATTTTTTTCTCAGTGTTGAAGGACTCTGTTTTCATCGCCGTAATTTCATCGTTCTGTTTGTCTTTGAGTTTTGCTTTACATGCTTTAAATCAACAGTTTTTTTCTGCTTTCATTTTTTTTCTTTTTAAACAAACAAAAATCTTTCTCCAGCTTCTCATTATTGTTTTTATTGCCAAGATTAACATATTACTTGGAAAAAACCAAACTATAAGACAGCGCTACGATGTAGACAGTCAGTGTAGAGAAATTTTATCGGTTAACAAAACACTCACCCAGTTCACTGTAAGTAGCACAGTAACCATCAAGGTACTTCATTTTTTCATCCTTCTTTCTAGAGTACACTTCTAAAGTTAGCAAAAATGCAAAGTAGACTCTCATTATTAAAATCCCATATTCAACAACTGCATATTAATAGGTCAGCAATTACAAACGATAATCTGAAGTTTCTCCTTGACAATGTTAATGCAGATTTTTACGATGTAGCTGCGAATGATGTAATAACATCAAATGAAGGTTTAAAACTGGTACAAACGTTCTGTACAGAAGTAATAAATAACAAAGTTGTTGATAATGTTGCTCGTACTCCATTCGACGAACATGAAGTATGGCTTTTAATCACTAATTCACTTGTGAAACTTATCGATAAAGCAAGTGAAACAGACAGTGACTTTAACGATCGAGACTGGCATAGTTTTCATGCAATGGCTTCACTATTGGATTCATGTCCGTTAAATACAGATAAAACTTGTTGTCGTCTCGTTCAAGAATCATTTTATTCACGAAAATGTTTGGAAACAGTTAGAAAACTATTTCAAACTTTGGCTTCTTCAAGCGTAATTCCGTTCAAATACTCTTAAAAATTTTGCAGGTTAACCAAAATAATTGTGGAAGCGTTACTCTTGCCTAGCTTGATAGTTTATGATATACAGTTATAGTCTAATAAGAAGATTAGTAAAAGTGCTTTTAAATATTAACTTCTAATTAATTTTAAATAAATCTTTTAAGCACATGAGAGTTACATCTGCGGCTCCTGATCCAATGTTTGAAGTGAAATAGGAGAGAATGAAAAGGAAGAATATTATCAACTGATGTACAGATTTAATGGTTCAAGTTTTCAAAAACCACTCAAGGTCCTTTTTCTCGCTAGATGTACATAGCTGAAGTCGCATCTTTTCTAAAATGTACAGTTGAGTAATCAGAAAAAGCCTTGCGATATAAAATAATCCATTCTTATAATAGAACTTCTCGCTAATTCTGTTTGAATAATAAAAGCATTATTCTCTTATACAAAATAAGTTTACTTAACTCCATCCATTACTATAACACGAACAGCGTAACATATTCTCTTAACCGAGTCATCAGTGCTCACTACTTGAACACTTCCTATATTGACATTTATACTGCATAATTATAAACTAATAGACGCATTATTGAATTTTTTAATAAACGACTTTGCACGATATCTGTTCACAATACTATAAAAATAATGTTTTTAATTGATAAGAGTTCAAGATTTGGATTTCATCGAGTGTACAAGCATACTTAATTAGGAATTTGAGTAGTGCATTAATGCGTTTATGATTAATTCTCAGTGAATTTAATAGCTGATGCTTCGCATATGAAAAAGATATTCTGCATTGCTAATTGTCGTAGTCAATAACAACCATTGTTTGCAACGAAGCGTTTCATCTCAGCTGAAGGCCAGTCAGTTTCTGAACTCCGTTTGATCCATGTACATGCAATTGTTGGCCATCATTTGCATTCAACAGCAAAAACTTGGTCAGCCATTACATAAGTAGAACAACCCACCCAGACTTGTTGTACTGCATTTTGTTGAAACGACGGACCCACTTTAAAATCTACTAATCTGTCATGATTGCTATCGCTTAATAAAGTGATCCCGGGTTCACACAAAAACGCATATAGTTACCGCTGTTGACAAATACCAGTCAACAGATAAATTTATCTTAAAAAGAAAAGGCAAGTATTCGTTAAGGAATCCACTTGTCATCAGTAAATTTTCTTATCTTCTTTCGTTTCCTTACACCTCCACATACACGTATTTATACCAGAAAATACACTCAGAAAGAATATTACAAACATAGAAGAAGAAAACAAATAATCTTTAACAGAAACTGTGCAAAGAACAAAGAAGAAACGACAAAAAAGGTAAACTGAAAACAATGAGTTCACCTATTTGGTCAATTTTAAAGATTTTATTTTCTTTCTTCTAGCAAAAAAATGAAGTTTTGCTATTTGTTAATTTCACTAGTATTTTCAATACTAGTGAATCAATACTTTGAATATACAATTGAAAAAAGTCCAGAATGATACTGATCGTGTTTTTAAACGTATACTATGCTCAATGCAGTTCCGAAAATTCACCTCCTACATTTGAGATGAACTCAGTGTTTTCTTTGCTTCCAAACCTTAGTGTCTGGAGTCGAATCAATGTCCTCATTCATTTTGAAGGTTTTGTCTACATTCTTCGGTTTTCTTTCTCCAAAAATGCACAACATTTTTACACACGCTATCCAAAACATCAAAATAGCACCTTTATTCTTGTACTTTATGACTTTCTGTGTTTCTGGAGTTGGACATAATGTGACCTTATATCTTATTTGTTTGGCCACAGAAAAATATAATCTACAAGAAAATAGACGACTTGAATGGTCTATAGGGCTTTACCCGGCGCTTTGTAGTCTAAACCCTTTTCTCCACCCTCTGCAGCTAAACAAAACATTTGAGAAAACGGTGCCTGGTCTGAAACCATAATCGATGAACCAGAAGATATCACCTTTAGGAGAGGTAAAGTCACTTTGGTAAGAAGTTCAAAGAACATTTCATTTTTGAACAAAACTTACTTTTCCTTTTTACATAATAAAACCTAAACAATACGATGGCTTTAATATGCAATAAAATTGGATGGTCTGCAGTTCTCAAAAGTTATGCTCGTTTATTTGAAAAAAAGCTATTTATTATGAATAAAAAGAACCTTTCTTCTACTTTTTCACAATGACAAGCATCGGCTTTCCACACATATTGTTGTTCACCGAGTCATACACGAGTCCAGCAAATAACGGCGAACTGTTCTGAATCGAAAGTAGATCAATACCCTATTCGTACCGTGCAACTTTGAGGCTGAAGTGTTTCAAATTAACGAATTGTTGAATTAAAATAGCCAAATTTTTGAAGTGACGTCTTCGTAAGAGACCAAGGGAGCTATCAACAAATTCGAGATGCAAGTGTGTAAGATTGGGAGCAAAGAAGAGTATGTCTTCCCATCCGAGCTGTGTTGTTAGGATAGTGAGTAGATGAATACGACGAATAACAGTAGACTTGTATGTGTGCATGACACTTGAGGTTCGTGGTCGTCAATTGTCAACACTAAAAGAAACAATCTGAGGTAGATGCTGAATAATTAGTTCAATACAATTGCATGTCGTGTTCACGAAGGAGATGTGCCGAACAGTAAGCACAGGATGAAGAGGAGGACACATCAAGTCCTTCAAGAAAAATCTGTTAGTGCAATTAAGGCAACCTAAGGATACAAGTCGAGAAAATGGTTCTTCTTGGTTCAAAAAAATAAAAGGAAGAATGTCTTTTGCTCCTAAAGTAGAAGAAATATCCACGAAGAATTGGGCAAGATTTGGTTGATATTTTGAATTGATTTGTCCTTTTTGTTGTCTTTTGTCGAATTTCCTCACGTAGAGTGACCGAAGGTTAATGAAGGGGCGAAGGTCGACTGCAGTTTGTTTGCGTGCGTTTCTGTCGTCTCTGACAAATGCAATTTGACTGGCAAAGTCTGCGAGCAGATTCCATAGTCACATAAGTTTTCCCCTTCTTCAATATGCACTTTGATGGGTATGAAACGAATGCATCAATCAAGACGAGAATGAAGACCCATCCACTGATCAAATAAATCCTTTGGACGAATAAGTTCGAATGTTTCCAAGACAATTTCATTTGGGAAACGGAGAAATGATGGAGCAATGTAGTGATTCATCTTTCGTTTTCATTGATCTCAGCGTAACAGTGAAGAAAAATAGCTTCAACTGTTTATTCTTCTTCTAAGGCACCGCAATATACACTCGTGCTATTCCTTGTTTTCCCCTAGTTCTTTTCTTTCTTAGAACAGATAGAAGCCGTCCGTCCGTTCTTTTTTCTCTTTCTGTTCTTTGGATGCACCGGTCCAGTGCTGAAGACCAATTTAACTGCGAGTGACGTCTCCTCTTTTTGTGACCAAAAAAGAGAGCAGACGTTTTAAACAGCCTTTCTTACTCAAATATAAGTTTTGAACAAGTCAAAATCTGGACATCGCACCTTGTCAAGCTTAATACATCTTTTTCTTCTCTATTAATATTATACACAATGACTCACGCAAACCAGAAAACAATTCAACTCAACACAATCTCCTTAACTGAAAACCCTTGGTCCTGTAGCAGAAAATATATGCCTTCTCCTTGCAATCACGATCAAATAAACCCGATTAATTACAGATAGCGCCGTTTTTCTAACAATTTGGGCTAATGCAAATCAGTAGAGAAAAAACATTTTATTGAGAACTATTTCGCACCCAAACAGTGACTTTATAATCGGTTCGTCAGCCTAATTATATTTAGATGTTGAATACTGCATATGTTTTACCTTCGTGAAAGTAGAATCTCAATAATGGTATCATTAATTTTGTCGTTTCTTCCACATAATTATCAGAACCTTCTTTTAGTTCTCTTGCATAACCAACCAACATACTACATGCGCTTGATTTTTCTTCTAAACCACTTGTTTTTATGCCAAATGCCTAAAAACCAAACAGTACTATTGATAATTATACTCACTTACATATTTATTCATTACGACAGTACATACCTGATCACCAACATTGAGCACTTCCCAATTATCATCTTCTTCAACATCAGTTTCACCATCTAAACAAACATACATTGTCAGTATT